AACAGAGCCTAGAGACAGACAGAGAGAGAGGGCTACAGAGACGAGAGAGAGACCGAGAGAGGAGATGAGAGAAGGAGAGAGAGAAAGAGAGAGATAGAATGAAAGAGGATGATTGAGAGAAAGAGTAGAGAGAGAGTAGAGATAAGAAGATAGAAAATAGATAGATATAGATTTAGAATAGAGAGAGGACGAGAAGAGAAGAGATGAAGGGAGAGAGAAGAGACGGGGCCGGGGAGATGGAGAGGAGACGGACGAGAAGAGAGAAGGAGGAGAGAGAGGAGGAAAAGAAAGATCCGGAGAAAGAGAAGAAAGAGAGAAGAAAGAGAGAGAGAAAAAAAGAGAAGATGAGAGAGGAGAGAAAAGGATCCGGAGAGAGAGAGAAGAGGGAATGAGACGAGAGAGAGAAGACGAGAGAGAAGAGAAAAGGAGGGAAAAGAGACGAGAAAAACGAGAGAGAGAGAGAAAAACGAGGAGAGAGAGGAGAGAAAGAGAGAAGAGACGGGATTCGGGGAGGAGAGATGAAGAAAAGAGAAAATGAACTTACAGAGGTTAAAAAATGTTAATGGAAGAGACGAAAGAATTAATGAAAAAAAGGGAGGAACCGAGAAAAAAAAGATGAGTGACCCGTTAGACATGATAGACTCAAAGATGGAAGCAAAGGCCGGAAGGGTGCGGATTTCCAAACGTCATAGGACCTGGTGAGTGGGTATGACGGCACTTGGGAAACAAAGAGTGACGAAAGAGGAGAAAGGAGTTGAAGCGAGTGAGAGGAAGATTGAGGCGAGAGAGAGGAAAACGAAGAATACAGAGAAGGGAGAAAGAACGAGAATAGAAGAAAAGGAAAATGAGAAAAAAAAAAAAGAAAAATGAAAAATACGAGGAAGGAAAGTGACCAAAGAATTAGGAAAATATTCGGGGAAATGATGGAAGATCATAGAGAAGTATATAGTGAAAAATAAAGAAAGCAGAGGAAGACTTAGAAATAGAAATTAGAGTAAAAGGACAAAGATAAGGACAAAAAGAAAAGAAAAAAGGAATAAGAATGAAAAGAACAAACAGAACAAAAGAATCACAAGAAATAACAGATAACAAAACGGATGAAGTAAAAAAAAGAAAGAGAAAGAAAGAACAAAGAAAGAAAGAAAAAGAAGTAAAAAAAGACGAAAAAAGGTGTAGAAGCACAAACGGAGCTACAAACCTATACAATGAAAGGGTGAAAAAGGAAGAGAAAAAAGGGTGTGTCTTTAACCCCTAATGAAGCCGCAGGAAATTGGCCGTATCCGCCTTTTTTGGTCCCTTCGTGGGGGGAGGAGGCGGGGCAGGGGCAGGGGGAGGGGGAGGGGGAGGTGGAGGGGGAAGGGGGAAGGGAGGGGAAGGAGCAGGGGGGAGGAGGTGGGGGAGGGGAGGGGGAGGAGGGGCAGGGGGGAAGGGGTGGGGGAGGGGGAAGGAAGGGGCAGGGGGCGAGGGGATGAGGAGTGGGGAGGGAGGAGAGAAGGGAAAGGTTGGGGTTAAGGGGAGGGAGGGGGAGGGGAGAGGAGGAGAAGGAGGTGAAGGGGAGGAGGAAGGGGGAATATGAGTAAAGGGGTAGATGGAGAAGGGATTGGGGAGGAGGTGGGGGAGGAGGAGGGGGAGGGGGAAGGGGAGGGATTAGGGGGGGGATTACGGGGAGGGAGAAGGGTAAGGGGAGAGGAGGGAGGGGAATGGGAAGGGGGAGGGGCAGGGGTTAGGGGTAGTATAAGGGAGGGTGGAGTATAAAGGAGGGGTTGGGTAGGGGGGGGAGAAGTGTTAGGGGTATAAGGAGGGAGGAAGGCGTATGGAAGAGAAGGTAAGAAGAGAAGGGAGGGGTAAGGGAGTTAAGGAAAGGGGAGAGATAGGAAAAGAGAAAGGTAAAGGGAGAGTTAGGAGGGCGATGATAAAGGTGTGAGGGTAAAGGAGGGGCAGTTAAAAAGGGGGTCAGAGCAAAGGGGAGAGTTGAAGAGTGCCAAAAGGGGAGGGGCCAGAGTGGGGAAAGGAGGGAGGAGGCCTGCGAGGAGGAGGTCAAGAGGGAGGGTCAGAAAGGGTCAGGAAAGAGAGGCTATGAAAGAGGGGTGGTGGGGGGTGGGGGTTAAGGAGGGATCGAGTCAAAGAAGAAGGAGAGACTGGACAGAAATTATTGGAAAAGGAAGCCCGTGTAGAGTGGAAGGAATTCTCGGATTCTGAGAGGGATAAAGTTGTCGATTGATTCGGAGTTTAGAGTGAATCGCGCCGGCGGGAACCCTGGCCTCGATTGATTGGAGTGTACAGAATATGATAGCGTATGCTGTTAGGGTTTCCATATTTTATCCGTGTGTTGGAGAACTACGGAGATAACAGGGAA